GAAGAAGGAAGAGATTTTAGCAATTTCCTGGAAGATGGAGTTTGGAGTTCAAGTCCTGCCAAGTTAAAGCAGCTTAACGCACACTTAAGGCTTTTGATTTGATCCCAGAAAGGTCATGCCTTACAAGTAAACCCAGGACTAAGAGTTATGCCCTGGGACTATGGACAAAACCAAAATAAACCTGTATAAATGAAGTATAAAATCACACCTCCACAAGATCAAGTAGTTTAACTGCCTGCTAGAACAAAACACAACATTCTTTAGAGGAAGACAATAAAATACAGAGTATCTTCAATGTATCATCTACTGTGTCCAATATACAATAAAAAATTATAGACATGTGAAGCAGGAAAATGTTACCTATAATCAAGAGAAAAAATAATCAATAAAATCAAACCCACTGATGACTCAGGTGATGGAATTAGCAGGCAATGACTTTAAAATGGCTATTGTAAATATGCACAGGAATCCCAGAAGAGAAATGGGACTATAAAAATAAATCCAGTGGAAATTCTAGAACCAAAAATACTTTGGATGAAATTAACAGCAGATTAGATGCTATAGAAAAAAGGATTAGCAAACTTGAAGACAGGTAATAGAAATGATCCAAACTGAAGCATGAGACAAGAAAAGATAAAAATAAATAAATAAATGGAGCTTCAGGGACCTGTGAGACAACAACAGTGTATAAATGAAGTTCTAGAAGGGTAAGGGAGAAATAATTGAGCATAAAAAACATTCAAAGCAATAATTGCTAAAAAATTGCCCCCACATTACCAAATTTAGTGAAAAACATCAACCCATAGGTTCAAGAAGCTCAGTGAACCCCACATAGAATAAATGCAAAGAAAATCACACTTAGTCACATCATAATCAGGTTGCTAAAAATCAAAGATAAAGAGAAAATCTGAAAAGAAGTGAGAGGAAAAAAAAGAATCATTATGTACATAGGAAGGCAGCTGACTTCTTATCAGAAACAATGTTGGCCAGAAGGCAATGGGAACACTTTTAAAGTGCTGAAAGTGGGAGAAAAAAGTCAATTTGGGATATGCGAAGCTTTAAACGCTAGTGGGACTCTGAGGTTGCAAGATACAGTGAAGTCACCCCCTGCCAAGCACACCCCTCTATGGCACATTATACATGCACCGCCCCAACACACACCCCTCCACATACACAGCATCTCAACAGAATATCCCACTGTTTCCCACAGAAAACAATTTATGACTGTCAGGAAGGTGATAAGACATGAAAACACAGAAAATCATTTATTCAGATTGTGGCACATACATTAAGATTCTTTGTATTTTGTCACCATGTAAACATCACACATTTTTCATCCTGATAAAAACTATAAAAAGGAAAATTAAAATTCACTTCTCAAACGCTTTAGTCATGTGATGCTTCTGTCCAACAGGGAAGTGGGAATGATGCTTCTTGAGGGGGTCAGGGGCTCCTGAGATCCAGGAGTCATCGCGGGGGAAGCTTGACGCTCTGGGGGCGAGTGGGGAGGAGTGTGAGGGCAGCGGAGAGAGCAGCAGCACACATTTCCTGAGCAGTCGCTAAATGCTGGTGCCAGGCATCGCGCTAAGCGCTTCTGGTACATTATCTTATTCAATTCTCACACGAGCCCTGAGGAGTGAGCATTATCATCCCCTTTTTACAAAGAAGGAAGCAAAGTTTCAGAGAGAATAAGAAAGCTACCCAAGGTCAGTGACAGAGCTGGGGTTTGAGCCCAGGTCCATTAGGCTTTGAGCCGCAGCACTTCACCTGCCTGCAGTCAGCCATTCATTCATTCACTCTTCTGCACTGGGCCACACGAAAGGAGAGCTCTACATGGCCCGCACATGCCCCGTCCTCAGGTTACTCACAGCCCTGTGAAAGAGGCAATAAAAACTACTATAGCCAACATTCACGGAGCTACGCACTAGCCGGTGTGTGGTACACTTAACATGTCACAGCTTATTTCATTTTCATGTCAGCCCTATGAGGTGGATCCTTTCCTTATCCCCATTTTGCAGATGAGGAGAGTGAGGCTCAGAGTAACTGAGTGGTAGAACTACAATCTGACTCCAGAGCTCAAGCTCCTCAGTAGGGCACTCAGCTGCCCCAGGCCAGCAAAAGGGGCCGGGGTTGTGCGGAGGGGCAGGGCAAGTCCACTCTGGTGCTCCTCTCCCACTGATGAGGGCCCAGGAACTTTGATTTTTGAAAGCAAATTTGTTTTCGTAACTGAGGGGCTTGGGCTATACCCGTTCCTGGAGGGTGGGAAACTCCTGAGACGGCTTGTCTGTAGCTCCCATTAATCCAGTCTCCACTCAACACCCAATGTGGCCTTTTAAAAATAAATTCTCAACACTGTCTAGCTCAAAACCTTTCGGTGGCTCCCTGCTGTCCTTGAGATAAAGGCCCACCTCTCTAACAAGACCCATCTTTTCTCCTCAGCCAGAATGCTCTTCTCCTGGCTCCTCTGAAGGACTCCCTACAACTGCTGTTGCCCCAAGCGCCATTCCAGGTACCACTGCCGCGTAACAGATCACCTCCAGAACCCAGCCGCCCACGGCAACACTCACATTCCACTCACGGGTTCTGTGGGTCAGGAATTCAGATATGGAACAGAGGGATGGCTTATCCCTGCTCCCTGACGTCTGGGGCCTCAACAGGAAGACTCAGAGCTAGGAGTGACGCAGCAGCAGGTGGTGACGCGATGGCTAGGGGCTGGGATCACCCACAGGCATCTTTCCTCACGTGTCGGGGGCTGATGCTGCCATTGGCTGGGACCCACACTGCATGTGGCCTCTGCATGGTGGCTTCTGGACTTCTGAGGCTCCGGCTTGGCTCAGGGCTCAGAGAGAGCACCCCAGTGAACTGGGCAGAGGCTGCACGGCCTTTTCTCATCCAGCCTGGAGTCAGTTGGTGCCATTTCCACCGCATTCCACTGGTCACAAGCAAGTCACAAACCCTCTCAGATGCAAGGGGAGGGGCACGAACCCCACATCTCTGTGGGAGGAGTGTCAGGTCTCGTTGTGGACCGGGAGAGACTGGTGGGTCATCCTTGAAAGAGCAACCTACTCAGTTTGTCTCCCACCCTGACTGCCAGCTCTCCAGGGACAGGGGCTATGACTTCCTGGTGTTGGCTAAGAGCAGGTTCCCAATAAACACTTCCTGGATTGAGGGGGTTGGGGGGAGAAAGAAGAGAAGGGAGAGAAGGGGGAGGGGGAGGAGGGAAGGAAAAGAAGAAATGGGGAGAAAGAGAGAGAGTGAGAATGAGAGAGGAGGAAGGGGAGACGGAGAGGAAGAGGAGGAGAGGGAGAGGGGGAGAGGGAGGGAAGGGGGAGGGAAGGAGGGAGAAAAGAAAGACATGCCAACCTCCCACTGTTTATCTTAGGCTGGCAAAACATGGGTGCCCTCATCCTGTCGAGGGTACAGCTCTAGGAGAATTCATTTCCATCCCCTGTGCTTCCGCTGATGTTGAGCCCCAGCCTACGATGGCCCCACGCGGGGCCCTCCAGGCCCTTTGGAGAACCCACAGAGTGGCCGGATCTCCTCCCCACGTTAGGTGCAGGGAGCATTTCTGGCTGACAGTCCAGTGTGGTTCTCTGGCTAATGCTCTGGCCAGGAAGACCCTGGGGGCTACTGGCAAAGACTCACCTTCTAAAACATGGTGGAGCTGACAGATGGAAAAGGGAGAGAGTCTGAGCAGGTTGGGGAGAAGCTGAGGCAGGAAGAAAGTTCGCTCCCTGCAGAGACAGGAGTGGCAGTCCTGATGAGGGGAAGATCACAGTGGAGCTGTTTACCCAGGGACCAGGAATGTGACCCACTGTGCCTAGGGGTGGGGAGAGGCCCATTAAAGTTTTCCTCCCAATTTATACCCAAACATCATCACCACCATCATCACTACAACTTTTTCAAAAAGAAAAGAGGAGTCATCACCAGTATTTCTCAGGCTGTTGTCCAAGCGAGGGACAAACCTGTGCCTGGGGGCTCCCTCCCTGGAGCTTGCCTCCTCCTACCCTCCGCCTTGTGCAGGGTGCCCGGACTGTGCCGAGGAGTCTGTAGGGTGTGGCACCGTGGGGTCTGGTGCCATCCTTTCCTTTCCTGCTGATTCTATAAACACCCACAGGGCTCCACCTGTGTGGCTGACTCGCTGCTGAGGACTCAGGATGGAATTTCGGTATTTGTTCCTAGAAGAGCCCAAGGGAGGTCACATTTTGATGAAAACACTGAGGCCAAGCAGGATCTCACAGCAGAGGTTCTGGGAAGGTGAGATCCTTGGCCCACCCAGCTCCAGAGTCCCGAGTTGGGTTCAAGGAAGTGTCCTTGAGGCTGTACCAAGCCCCTTCCCCTGCCGCCTCACAGAATCCTGCTGCAGCCCTTGGAGGTAGATTACTAGGATTAATTAGCTCATTCATCTATGCATGAAAGGGATGCCCGGAGAGGTGAAGAGACCTAATCACAGCCACTAAGGCGGGATGTGACAGCCTTTATCCAGCGCTGCCCCACCCCCAGCCTGTGGTATTTCCACCATCCTCAGCCACTGCCTCCCGCTAACTTGCAGCAGCTCTGACTGCTCCTGTGCGGACAGCCTTGGGCTCCCTTCCCCAGGGTTTAGAGATGAGAATGAGGCCTCCACGAGGGACCGCTGATGAGGAGAGGCCCTTTGGGCTGAGCTGCTCCGCCCACCAGCCTGTGGGGCAGTGCCCAGGAGCCGTCCAGGGGAGGACCGGCTGCCTGCCGCTCACAAGCCGGCTGCACGCACAGCTGGAGCGGATCTAAACCCATTCCCTGAGTCAAAGGGGAAAGCTCTCCGCCGCCTGCCTCACAGAGCACGCGGGAGCTGCCTGGGCTTTGGGGAGAGGGCGGGCCAGGGAGCAGAGCTGGCCAGGCTGCCCGTGCCAAGGAAGGAGGGGGCCCGCTGAGGTTGCCAAAGCGGGCCGGGCGGGAGGGGCCGGGCCAGCTGGGGCCGGAGCTAGTGTGACATCACCGGGCGGCCCGCCTCTGTCTGGGGCTGAGGGGAGGCCCGGAGCCTTTCTGGGGCCTGGGGGATCCTCTTGCACTGGTGGGTGGAGAGAAGCGCCTGCAGCCAACCAGGGTCAGGCTGTGCTCACAGTTTCCTCTGGCGGCATGTAAAGGCTCCACAAAGGAGTTGGGAGTTCAAATGAGGCTGCTGCAGACGGCCTGAGGATGGACCCCAAGCCCTGAGTGGTGCTGCCCGAGCCCCCGGACCCCAGAGCATGGCACTGAGGCAGCTGCCTGCCCCACTGTGAGGGAAAGCAGGCTGTGAGCAGCCCCAGCAGGACCCCTGGCCAGCCCCATCCCCTGCTGAGCCCTGCTGTGGAAGCAGAGCCCCAGAGGCCAGTGGGGCAGGGCTGCGCGGCAGCCGGTCGGCCGGCCTGTGACTCGGGAACCCCTCCTGGAGGCCATGGACAGGCTGCCCCACTGACGGCCAAGGTGAAGCATGTGAGGAGCTGCCCTGGGAGCCGAGCAGGAGGGAAGAGGTAAGGGGCCAGCCTGCGGCAGCCAGGGACAATGCAAAGAGGCAGCAGCTGGCCCCGTGGCTGGGGGTTCAAGAATCCTGCTTCCTACTGCTGGGGGGTGTGTGCAGCCAGATCCCAAAGGGGTCACTCCCTGCTTTCACGTGGAGCCAAACACGGCATCTCCAGGCAGGACTGTGGACGCCGGGTGGTGTCCGGAGCACAAGCTCATGGGCTGGGGTTCTGAGGACTTCTTCAGTAAGCCCACCCTCCTCCGCTGGACAAAGAGCGTTTGGGGTGAAGGCAGGCGGCTCCTGGGCACGGCTGGGCAGCTGCGGCGTGTGCTTAGGTGGGGCAGTGGACTGAAAGAGTCCCAGACAGCAGGGGTAGCCCGAGGGCCGGGAAGTCCCTTGCAGCTTTGGGCTGCTCTGCACCCCAGCCAGGGACTCTGCTGAGGCAAAAGCAAAAGCAAACGCTGTCCTAAGGCAGCCGGGAGCCCTTGCTCAGAAAGTTCCCTGGAGCTGGGCAGCTTTTGCTCACAGCCCTCCAGCTGGTGAGGAGAGCTGAGGCGTCCGGCGCTGGAAGGGATGTGCCACCCAGAGGTTTCCGCACTGGCTGGTACCCTGGGTCTCCAACTGGCTGGATGGGGAGCGGCTTCCCTGGTACCCCGGCAGGGGGACGGCATGGGTTCCACGTACTGAGTCCCTTGAAAGCACTCGGCGTTAGATAACATTTCCAAACAGAAATTCTCCACTGATCCTTCCCTTCTCCTTCTGTGATATGTGTGTCATGGGTCAGCTATTGCCTCTGCTGTGGGATTATGAGAGCTCCCAGAGGCCAGTTCGGTTACTTAGAAAAGGATCTCCTTTCACCCGGGGCTCTGGGGAAAGCTGAGAATGCCACTTCCGAGGCTGGCCAAATGCTCCCCACGTGTATTTTTCCAAATGGAGGCAGAGTAGGGTAGCGCTCACAAGCTGGCTTTAAATCCCGGCTCTTCCACTTAGCGGCCAAGTGGCTCTGGCAGAACACTTAGCTTTTCTAAGCCTCAGTTTCCTTATGTGTAAACTGGGATAATAGCACCCATTTCTTAGTAAGAGCTGCATTTATATTGCACTTACCCTGAGCCAGGCACTTATCAACTCGTAGAATCCTCACAACCACCCTGTAACACAGGCACTATTATTCACCCCCATTTACAGGTGAGGAAACTGAGGTACAGGTTAAATGATGTGCCCAGGCCACATGGCCAGTGAGTGCTGGCACCAGCAGTATGGCTCCAGAGCCACTCCGAACCAAATTCCACTACATTCTAGAAGGAGCACAAATGATCACGCACAGAGAGGCCTTAGCACGGTGCCTGGTGAACAACAAACCCTTGGCAAACGTCAGTCACTTATTATTATGAACCATTAACTATCAGAATCACACAGAGGAAAGGGAAGAGCAGAGACCCCAATTCTTACCCTGTTCTGGACACATCCTGCTAGGGTTTTCAGAAGATCCCACAAGGCAGAGCCAATGTGGTGGTAATTACCGCTACCCACGCTCGGGGGCTCTCCAGGAGTCTGAGGGGGGCCTTATGACTGGGGTTGGGGTTTGGGTTTGGGGCCCCCTGCAGCATGTCCGCATGCTTGAAGTCCACACTGAGGAAAAGTGTAGACACACTGACAAAAGGATCCAATACCAACCTCGTAGGAGGAACGGCATCTTGCCACCCACACGGGCACAACTTGTCTACCTATCGGTCTCCTCACAAGAACCACAGTGAGTGAGAAAATGGAGCTACACTGGTGCTGCAGGAGGGCCACAAAGTCAGAAGGACAAATGGCCAGGCCTGTCCCAAAGTTGCAGCGGGGGAGGCAAGCAATGGCCATCACCAAGTCTAGTACTGTGGTGGATCTCACACGGGACAGCACTGATACATGGCGGCCTAGGACAGCAGCTTCTGTCCCATGGCCCCCAGAGGTCCCAGTGGGCTCCCTGAGCTCTGGGAAGTATTTTGAAAAGCTGGTGTTAAGTATTTGCTTCTCAAGGCCTCTGGGGCTGCTGAAGCCACAGGCTTCCCGCTCCAGCCTGGAACTGTGGTGGCTCCCTGTCCTCTCTGGGCAGCGCAGGTTGAGCAGAGGCTCTGACTGACTTCTTGGGCCTGGCTAACCAAACGAGATTAATTATTACTCAATAAAGGCAGGTGTAACAGACAAAACCGTGGAAAGTGCATGGTTCAGGATGGGACTACCTGGTACTGCTCAAGCTCACAGGCAGAGCAAATAGGCTCCTCCTCCACTTGGTCCTCCCTCCCACAGTGATGTATGAAATACCCACTGGGCTAAGTGAGGCACATATATTATCTCATTCCATCCTCACCACAACTCTGGGAGGCAGGTTCTAGTTTTAGCATCCCATTTTACAGATGGGAAAACTAAGGCTCAAGAGGTTAATTTCCCCAAGGTCACACAGTTAGGTGAACCCAGTCTGCCTAGCCCCAAAGCACCTACCTTCCTCTACCTCACTCCACTGCCTTGTTCAATGTGCCTCAATTTCTTTTATCTTGACGCTGTCACTGGGTCCCTGCTCAGTGCTCCCTGCAGCCAAGTCTGCTTTAGTTGCTGTCCCATAGAATGCTGCACCAAGCCCTCTGAAACCAGGTGCTTGCCCGATTTCAACGCATCATGTGTTCTCCATGGAAGCCCCCCTCGGAGGCAGAAGAGGCATTATTGTGACCCCTACAGAGGAGCCTCAGCATAGCCACACAGGGTGCCTTGTGAGACATGGTCAGTGGGAAGTGGACCTAGGGGTCGAAGCCAGGCTGGCTGACTTCAAATATCCATGTGCCCGGGTGCCTCCCCATACCAGCACCAGGGGACTCTGGCACCAGCTCAGCAGGGCAGAGCCTAGGGTAAGCATTTGTCCATGTGACTGAGATACCATTCATGCATTTTTTACAACCCTACTTGGAAGTTCCCTTAGGGCTACAGAAGCAGAGCTCAGGCCCTCATCATCTAACCTGGGCCACACTTGAGCAATTCCTGAGAAAACATCGGGGAGGCGGCAGCTGGTCACTGCTATAAAACAAACATAACAGTAGGCCTGCCCACGGCAGGTACGTTTAGCACCCCGCCACCTCTCTCTGAATCACAGCCCGTTTGATCTGGAATGGACTCAGCAGAGGGGGGAGGGGCTCTGCTCCCAGAGCCCACGGCCCGGCAGGACCAGGCGGATGGCAAACAGTCACGCAGATGCACAACTCTGTACGAGTGGTAAAGGGGAGGCAGGTGGAGCTAAGAGAGTCCTCAAGATGCGTGGTGGTGTCCCCATTTTACAGAAGTGGGAACTTGGAAACTGAGGTTCAGGGGTGCAGCGCCTCTGTCAAGGTCTGTCTTCTAGTGGGCCAACAAGCAAGGATTCAAATCCAGACCTGTGCCCATTCTACCTGGTCTGCTGCCATCCTGGATAACCGCACTGTGGAAGTCTCAAGAAAGAATCGATTCATTGAATAGTGTTTCTTTTCTATGAATTTATATAAAACACCCAAATAGAAGGGTTATTCAGCCACAGGCAGCATGGAGTTTGTGGTGACAGATAGGTCACGTCAGAAACCTCATTCTGAGGGCAGTTTCTATGACGAAACTGTATTCCCTCCTACGGACTGCAAGCCATGTGACTGACTTAGTAACTGCTTTGGGGGGTTTAATGCGCTGCACTGGCCTGTTACACGTACACATCGATCCTGAGACACATTCTGATCACAGGAATGTTAAAATGTTGGGTGCGGGAGCCAGGCCTCTCACAATCGAGCTATTGTGTCAGGTCTATTCTCTGGTGAAATCAGCCTGTCTTGGGGCCAGCAGCCTCAGAACCTCTCCCCCTCCACCCCCCATGCTGCCTAGTCCTCCAGACAGGCCCAAGACTGTGGCGGAAAAGCCCAGAGTGAATTCTGTTCTTATCTCCAAGGGATGCCTGAGGACCTGCCCAGCTCCAGGAATGCCCAAAGTCCTGCCCAAGATGGTCCCTTTCCAACCTCCATGGGGGAAGGCTTGAGTCTTAGTTACTGCCGAACCTCCAATATCCACCCAGGGCCAGGCAGACATCTGTGGAATGAATGAATGAGTGAATGACTGAAGCTAGCCTCAGACCCAGGCTCTCAAGCAAACAAGCTACTTTATCCCAGGGTGCCACACCATGCCCTTCTCTGTTGTCCAGCCAAGGTTCTCTTCTGAGGCTGGATCAGCTTCCCCTACAGTCCCCCAAGGTGCTCCCCACCCCGGGCATTGATCATTACCTGTGTTACGAATGCCTATTCCCCCTCTTGCCTACTGTGTGCCCCTTGAGGGCAGGGACCCAGCCTACCTTGTTCTGCTCTATTTCCAGCCCCTGGCACAGTGGCTGGCACAGGGGAAATGCTTGGGAAATATGTTGAATGAATGAAATTCTTGAATCCCTATTTAGTAAGCCAGGGCCGTCCTGCGTACTGGGCATTCAGAGGGGGAATCTGCCCTGACCCTTCTAAGAAGCTATAGTCTGGGGTAGACAATCAGATGAGCACAATCCGAGTCTCGGGTGCTGGAATGGAGGCGGCCACAGCCGCTCTTGAGAGCTGGGAGCGGGGACCTCACTGCAAGTGGCTTCACGGTAAGGCCAACTTAGAAAGGAAGACAGGCACACATCAGGCAGGACAGCGGGGGAAGGTGCTTGAGACGAAAAGCACAGTGCATGCAAAGGCAGGGAGGCATGACAACGCAGGCTGTTTTTAAGCAGGACACTGACATGACCGGATGTATTAGGAAGATAGCCCTGGAGCTGTGTGCCGTGTGGACTGCAGGGGAGAGAGCACCCAAAGGCAAGGAGGCCAGTTAGGATTGTGGGTAAGAAACCTGGCTCTGGAGCAGACATCTGATTCCTAGCTCAGCTTCACCACTTGGCAGCTCTGGGACTTCATCCCTCACTTCTGTTTGCTCATCTGTTGAATGGGGATAATTATAGCCCCCGCCTCACAGAGTTGCTGGGATCAGTGAGGTAGGCACAAA